GTCAGTGCAGGCCGTGTCGCTCACAGAGCAGGGATCTGTTCATTTCCTTAACAAAATCCCGTATTTACGTGCCGTCATACGTGACCCGTGGGCTTTAGCCCCCATCTCCAGGCACAAGGGGCTCTGTGCAGGAATCGCCCTCGTACTTTTATCCTTCCCAGCTCCGCCCTGAGCTCCAAGCAGCTTCTGCTCCTGCTCTGCCATCCCCTTTCACAGCTTGGTCCTGGCTCTCTGCGTGTTCCCCGTCTGCCTCTGTCTTCCAGCACACCTTGGAGCACGCCGATAGTCACGTGGCAGGTCGTTTTGATAATTTTCTCCTTAATTCTGCAGCCTTTCACTTCCCCCAGCTCCGTTTTCTGTTTTAATGGCTCTTTGGCTCTCTCAAAGGTTATTTCTATGTTCAAGCGTGGAGCCATCTGTGGTTTTAGTCAGCCCCTTGTCAGGCATGGGGATCTCCCGATTTCAGGTCTCCTCGGGCTGCCTGCACAGCCGTCTTGAGCTTTCCCAGAGCTCTTCAAGCTTTGAATACACGAAGTTTTGTGGCGTTTTAGGTGTCGTTTCCTCTGTTCTATTATTAATGCACGTTAATTATTGCTCTTCTCGATCTTGATCTGTGTAAATCCCTACTAAACATCCTTGTAAGTTTTTTTCTTTTTTCTGCCTTGTGTGGGACCTGTTCATGTAAAGGTTGGAAGCGAGATGAAGGGCAGCTGAGTGCATGTTTGTGCCTGGGAGGCCAGCAGAAATGGAAAGCTTTTTTTTTCAGATCTTCAATTGGACTGGACCTGCCCTGAGTATCAATAATACATGACCTGGGTTTCCTGCACTGAAACTCTGCTAATTGGCTAATTAAAAAGTGAAACGTGCAGAAGGAGCCAACGCGTTGCTCACAAGAGACTCTTTCTGCAGCAGCGCCAAGGCTGAGTGTGTGCTAATGCGATTTATAAAACTGAGCCAGGGGTGAGCGAAGCTCTGGGGTAGTCTCAGGGGCCGAGAGGATGATTTCATAACCAGCCTTCTTGTGGTTGGCTTCTCATTGTGCCTTGCTGCCGTGTCTTCTTTTTGTAATTTTTTTTCTTTTTTTCCCCATTTCCCTTCTAAAAGGGAAGAATTGTGTACAGGTCCTTGCAGCGCCAGGAGGTTTGTGGCTGGGGAGAGCTGCTGCTGGTTTTGACTCATGTTTCTTCCCCATGCTTGGTACTGTGCTGCTCCTTTCCTCCACGTTAGCTTTCCCACAAGTGGCTTTTTTCAGAGGAGCGGGATTGTTTCAATCGCTTGTCGCGCACCCCACTTCCCACAGAGAGCGCTCGTGTCGGGAATGAAAAGTGAGGGGAGAAATCTGCGTGAACCCCCAAGGTTTTCCTCCTGGGGCGATCTTCTTGGCGAGCCCTCTTTTCCAGGACGTGGCATGCTCCCTCCTGGAGCAGACCAACACTGTGACATGTGTTGTGGTCACTTTTATTTTTTTTTTCTCCCCATTTTCCGCAGATCGTGGATACCTTCTTTATCGGCCGCTTCGTCCTTCTGGCCATGATGAGCTTGGTTGTGCTTGGGTGCCTGTTCTTGCTACTGATTTACCACCTCATGGAGCCGGTGCACGCCAAACCGCTCCACAGCAGCTAGCGGCAGCAAAGAGGAAATCCTATTTTCATGGCAGTAAACCAGGAAGGGAGACCGGGAGACTGTTGTGGAGGTGAACACGTTGATTTTTCCGAGCTCAGAAAGAGCTGGCAAAGCAAGTGAAGCGTGTCGCTTGCACCCAGCCCTGCATCTTTCATCTTTAAAAGCAAAATTTGGACTAAGCACAAGCGCCTTCCTCTCTGGGGGGAGTTAAAGCCTCTGCAGACTGCAAAGGTGTTTTAATCTCTCTTCTCTTCTCTTTTACAGGAGAGTTGAAATCCATGCACTTTGTACTACACTTGATTCAATGAGTTGAACTGAGCGGAGATGGTTTGTTATTGTTAACCACAAGAGATGGTTTGTTATCATTCCTTTTTCACATTAGTTTAATAAAACTCTCTTAGAAACCCCTGGCTCAGCATTTATTTATTCTTCAGGGATGTCACCTTTGGTGACAGTGTCTTGGAAAACCGCCTGACAGACGTGGGGTTTTTTGGAAATTTGGCATGTGGTTGTGGATCGTTGGGGATCGTCCCTTTGACTGGAAGCCTGAGCCTTTGGAGTGGGGAGGGAACAATGTGCGAAATAATCCTGAAACGGGCAAATTAAAATCGTCAGGTCTCGCCTCCCTGCGCTCAACAATCCACTTGGGACCCTGAGTTGCCATCCTGGGTGGGGAGCAGAAAACTTAGTTTCTGCTACCCTAAAACAAAAACATCGTTCACGCTACAGATCCCTGGCTGAAGCCAGTAGTTGACTCCGATGCCTTTCCTCGTAGGGGTGAAAAAAACACTTTTTATGTTGTTCAGCAGCAGCAATGGGGTCAAATCCCATTTTTCTCCCTACTTTTTTCACAGAAATGGGGAGGAACAGCCCTGTGAAGCGAAGCAGGGAGGCTAGGCCAAGCCATCAGCTGGCAGACAGCTCGGCGCGCAAATCAATCCATTGATAGCAGCGGCTCGCGCAGGCTGGATGTCTGTACTTGACTACCGCTAACAACTGCTTTGTGCCATCTTAGCCATCCCTCACCAGCGATGGTTTATTTTCTCGTGTGAAAAATCACAAGGCTTTTAACTCGTTTGCAGGAAAAAAGGGGTTTCAGCAACCCGGAGAGTGTCACGGTCATTTTGGAGCAGAGAAGGAGCCTTCATCATCCGTACCACACCAGGAGAGGTTCCCGCAGGTGCCCCGCGGTAGCTGGGTGAGGTGAGTTATGTTACGGCTTGCGTTTTCCAGCCCTGGAGGGATGAAGCCGCTCAGCCTTTCATGGCTGTGAGGTTGACGTGCCAGACAGCGCCGCAGCCCTGAGCGGCGTTCAGGGGCAATATAGCCAAAAACCTGAGGGCAAGAAACTCACAGCTCTTGTACAGATTTTTTTTTTTGCCCCCCCCTCATTTTAGAGAATTTTTTTTTTTTCATTTTGAACTGAAGATGGTGAACAGTAAATAAAAGAACTGTCTGGCTTCTTCCAGCCCTGTCTTGCCAGCTGTCAATCACAAAATATCGCTATCAGGACATGAAAGATTAATAAGGCAGAGCTAGTGGGCTCAGAGACAGCACTTCCCCTGCAGAAAATGCCCCAGCACCCAGGAGCCCTAACTCGGTCAGCGAAAAACGTGTAAGTACATTTCAAAAAAAGCCAGAGGAGAGGTGTCTCTACTTTTCGAGCCACGTAAACACTCAATCCCTTCCCATCCTGAAGCCTAGGTCCAAGGGAGTTGAACTAGCGTGTTAAGGAACACGCCGAGCATTTATGCAACACAAGCGTGTCGGGTCTCTTGGTGATTTTGAAGTTACGCCTGAAACAAAATTCATATTTAATTCATCATCTTAATAACATTTATGAACACAAAGCTAGTCTTGCAGCTCACTCCGGCTCCGTGCCTGCTGTGTCTTTATTCCCTGTGTTTGTGCGAGAGCAGCGGGCTGGTTCGCAGAGCCTCGGTGAGGCTGCGGGGGCAAACCATGCCAGCCAGAGACGGCAGCATTTTGCCAGGCTCCGAGCCCGACAAATGGGGAAGCTGTGGGAAAAGCAGCTGGGGCACTAAAAAAAACAACCCTAAAAGCGGAAATGTGAAGCTTCTTTGAGTTTTGTGCTGTAGATAAGCCCAAGATACTTGCTTTTTCCGTCCCCTTAATCTGTTTGTAACTAAAAATCGGTCAAAAGGCTCATTGTGCGAGGGGTGTTTTGGGGAAAGCTGTGCTGCAGGGGGGACGTGGTGGCTCCTGCGTGAGGAGGCTGCTTTCCCAAAAATCCCGTTAACTGGGGAAAGAGCCCCACGTGCTCTCATTTTCCCCCCCAAGACATTTCGAGCTCTGTCCTCATCCTTCGCCACCCTTGGCAGCTGGGAACAACCGGCTGGATGAACTCAACCCCGGCTCTCTCCATGTATTTATTTATTCTGGGCAATTCTGCTCCTCCCCGCGCAGGGGCTTTCCAGACGGTTCCTGTTTATTTTTGGGAAAGGAAAGACCGCGTCAAGGAATTGGTATGAGCCTGAGCTGCTTTCCAGCCAGCCCCAAATGGTGATTTTTTTTATTATTTTTTTTCCTTGCTGTCCCCCTCCCAAACCTTCAGCTCCTGGAGGATAACCTTTTGCTAGCACATCTGCCTAGCACCCTGATTTTTTTTTTTTTTTTTTTTTTTTTTGCAATTAATGTGTAGCAGGAGGGTAGATTTGGCTTAAATCCCAACCTCTCAGTTGCTGGTGGAGGTGTTGGGAGCTTGGGAGATGGTATAGCCAAGGAGCCCCACTCCAGCCCAGTTTTTTCCCAAAACTGCGAGCAAACGATCCCAGTTTTCCTCTTGCAAGGTGGGAGCGCCGGATGCTCCGTGGCCTGAGGAGCCAGCCCCGTGCAGGCGAAAAATTCCACTAAATCCCAGCGAAAGAAGCCTGCCGTGCCAAAAAGGGATGTTTGCACAAGATACCGCGCGCGCCAGGAGGAGGGCGGCCAAGCTTTCAGGTCAGGCGGGAAAACAGCCCTTTTCCTTCCTAAATTCCCTGCCTGCTTCGTTAGAAACAAGCAGGGATGCTCCCGCTCCAGGATGCCGGTACCCAGTTCATCCCAGGCTCAGCAGCTGCTCCCTCCTGCCCGAGGCCGGGCGGTGAGCGGTGCCCGAGTGGGGATGGAGGGAGAGCGAGCGTCTGCGGGAGAAACTCCTCTCCTTGATTTAAGGTCCTTGAATGACGGCAATTCCTCACGCCTCGTGCTGCGCTCTGCCGGCAGTTAATTACCCTCACTGGTAAAAGCTGGCCTCTTATTTCCACCTTGACTTTGCTGACTTCAGCTTCCCTGCTGTTGAATCCCGCTTTGCCTTTGGCTGCTAATTAAAAAGCCCTTCAGCGTTCGCTGCCCGCTCCTTGCATAGGTAATTACGGACCGTGCCCCAGCCACCTCTTCACCTTCACAGCAGCTCGGCGGACTGTTGGCGTTCCTCCAAACCTGCAGCCCCTTCCCTCGCCGCCTCTCCTGGCAAAGCTCAGCCGAAACGGTGTCGCTGGGGGGAGGGTGCGGTGTCACCTATAGAAAAACACCCAAGCTCCGCATTTACCAAATGTGATCCTAACAAGCTCGTTTCGTGCACGATGTTTCTTCCCGTCTGCAGGACAGCAGTGGATGCATGTTCATGGTCTCCTGGCTCGCACAGCTCCCTCGCCGCCATGCTGCGCTGAAGGGGCTCGCGGGAGGGGGAAAAGCAGCGGCCCCTTCTCCGGCGGAGGAGGAACAAGACAAGGTGAGTCTTGCAGACTTCTCCCGGAGGAGCTCGGCTCGATTTAAAGTCCTTTGGCTGAGGCAAACCCAGGGGATCCCCCCTGCCTTCCCACCCACCCCTCGATCTCTAAAATCTCGGCGAGATCTGGGGTTTTCTTTGGCATTTGCTGCCTTTTTTTTTTTTTTTTAAGTTTAAAACAGTCATGGGCCGTCTGCCCTTTCTTCTCGCTCCTGGCAGTGCAGCCAAAGCTGCTCAGACTTTCCAAACACGAGCGGGATGTGGCCCAAGCCTAAATTTGTCCTGGAGCAGCTGAAAGAACAGGCAGGAGGTGGGGGGCAGAAAAAACCCAAACCAACCCAACTTGCTTTTGCAATAAGTTCCTGCATGTGTCAGGGCTTGTGGGATTTTTTGCTAGAAAATGTGTTTCAAGCCTCACCCCACTGTCCTCCCCCACAAGGTGGATGGCAAAAGAGAAAGCTCAGTCATGTGTGCACTGAAATAACCGTTCTCAGCCTGGTGCATGGCATCTTGGCTCCATCGGGGTTTGCCCCGAGGGGCAGTTATTTTTCTGGGAAAAAGGGGCAATTGGGGATTTTGCTTTTATCTGCCTGCCCCATCATTTTTTTTCCTGCTTTTTCCCTCAGGGACCAGCAGGCAACCGGCGAGTTTTCAAAGCCCCATTGAGCATCTCTGCTCGCTCCCAGGGGTCAGCGTGGAGGTGACTGAAGGCCACCACCACCTCAAACATGCAGCTGCTGCTCTCCCCCACCCCCGTGCCGCTCCATCACCTTGCAGGGATTTACAGGGAGCTGATCCAACCGGCCAGCAGGTTTTCTTTTTTTTTCTCTTCTTTTTTTTTCCCCTTTGCTGATGAAATCAGCACTTAATAAAATCACATCAGGCCCAGATGTTTTCTCCTCAGGTTAAGATCCAAGGAGGTGAAGTCAATTAGTTCAGATTTATACCAGGTATAAACGCAGCCCCTGGCACCCGGCGCTGCTCTCCTCTGGACGGAGAGCTGGAGCCTGCCCCAGGCGCAATTTCTCGCTGGGGAAATGCACCCCAGGGCTCGCGAACACCCTGTGCGCCCCAGCCCCTTGTGCATCAAAGTTTGGGGGCCCCCCCAAGAGTTCACAGCTGGCCCTCGCCTTAAGTGACGCTGCCGGGGGCCTCCCAGACCCACCTCTGCCCAAGGGAGCCCGCATGGCCAGCCTGGCGCGGTTTAACCTCCCGGGCGCCTGGTGCACGACTCCTCCTAATTAGGAGGTGTCTAACGAAGACCATCAGCTGCCCACGTTGGACTGAGGGAGAGCAGCCACAGTGCTTGAGCAGCTGATGCGTGGCTATGGGTCCTTTTGGGGCTAAATGGTATGAATTAGGAATCATAACAATCAGGAAAAATGCTGGGGTTTGGGTGGGTTTTTTTGCAGTGGGATGAGACAAGCAGCAAAACCAACTTAATTTGGGCTCAGTGAAAAGCTTGGGGATGTTCTCTACATAGAATAAGCAGCGCTTTGTCCATGTGGCAGCCCTCCTGGTCCAATATCGTGAAATACTGAGTGCCAGGATGGGGCAGGCTTGCGAACGAGAGGCTGCACGTGGAGAAAAGCAAGAAAAGGGGTGTAGTCATCTCCCCCAAGTTTACACGGACCTGGCCGAGCCCCACCAGGAAAGGGCACAGAGTGGCAGCACAGCTTTTGCACATTTTTATTAATAAAAACAGCCGACGGTGAAGAATCGGCCCAGAAAACCAGTCAGCCAGGGCTCTCAGACTGCTCCTCGCCACTGCCTCCCTCCGAAGCAAACCCACGGTGGCAGTATGAGCCTGTGGGGCCGTTCCGTGCCTGAGGCCGTGCCTTGGCTCTGCTGAG